TGTTTCCCATTTCCTCACTACGAGAGAGGTTTTACTTAGCAAAATTCAGCTTCTGGTATGATATTTATAGGTTCAGTGGCATTTTCGTCTGTGGCGACTACAGTATTCTTTCTCTCACGCGAAATTCGGAATGAAGTATAATAAAAATGTAACTTTTCAAAATTTATTTATTAGTGGTTGTACAATATTAAAGTTCTTGTAGTCTAATAGAACTATACTCGTTGTACAAATAAATTTAGTAATATACGTTGTTTACACAACACTGTTTTCTCAATATTTTAATAAATATTGTAAGAACACGGCTTTATTAGTTAAGTTTAAAATACTTTTCTTAAAAATCCAATACGAAAGGATTCCAAAAAATTGTAACCATCTTTTGTGCAATTGCTGATATAATATTTTCTAATATGACTGGATTATAAGAAAACCATAAATTTATATTTACAATCCTGTCATCAGTTCATAAATTAAGAACCGGCCATATAGCATTTGCGGTTTCCGTAAATACTACAAAAATGACCAATAACAAAGGGTGAAAAAGTTAAGCTGTTTACAAATTATAAATCAATGAAAGTTGACATTCATACAAGAATGTGTTTTATGGGCAGTTAACACCTAAAAACAAGTTCTTATATTTTTATTATCCGTTAAAAGACTATTACATTATAAATGGGCACCTGTATTTTTTGTTCTTTCTTTAGATATTGTTGTTTGAAATAGAAGAGATTAAAAATAGGTATAAATATTTTTTTGATTTTATATTGTTTTATTTGACTTTTGATATAAATAGATAAACGATAAACTATTTTTGAAAATTAAGGCCTATCCTCGATAATCCTAACGGTAAAATTCAGTGAGCTATCTATTTCAAAAATATCTTTCTTTACGAAAACAAAATCCATTCACGAAGAATATTCTAAACGTCATCTGGTACTAAATTTTATATTTTTACCTACTTACAACCCCCTATTGTGAAGTCTTGGGTGTATACAATAAAGGGAGCGGGAGGTCTTCTATTCATTGCGATTATGGGGTAATTAGAATAATACGAGTATACCAGAGTAACATTATTTATTGAATAATTAATTCACAACTTAGCAAGGGTACATACAGGTAACAAATAAGCGTTCTGTAAATAATTCATAACAATTAAATCGAAGACAAACTTTTATAACAAAATAATGTATAACAAGATATAAGTGTATTGGTTTTTTATGTCTTATATTTTTTTTGCTGACAAATTGGCTTTTAACGTATACCTATATTACAGTTTGATGATAAATATTCTGAACAACGGATTACAAAAGTTTAGATTTATGAGATTTATGAGAAGCATTTATGAAACTTAGATGTATACTGAGTACTTATTTCAAAAATTTACAACTAAGGATTTAATTTGTTATATGTAAATATACTGTATTACTATATGGATGTAAAACATGGATCATGAAGGATAGTATGATGGACAATTTAGGTTGTGACTCAGATATATGATAAAGTATGGCAAAGATGCCATAACTATAAATTAAGACTATATTTACCAAAACGATACTCTCAAATTATTGAATCCTGCATCTTGGAAAGATATTTCAGAATTAAACAGGAATATACATAAACGGAACTGAACGAAATTATAGCAGGGCTGCCACAAAGAAGTGTCTTTTGTATACCTTTTGTATACGTATTATATTATTGTCCTAGAAAATAATACAATTGAAACATATACCGATGACACTTCTATCATAGCAATATGCAAAACCAGCCAGGAAGCGACAGAGAAATTACACAGATCTTTATCAAATATATACCTATTCCAGGGAAATAAGCAAAAAATAGACCATGTTCGTGACACTCACTAATCCAGGTCACTGACAACTTTTTTAGTTATTGTAGACCTATAGGAAGAAAACCTACTTGTTTCCTGCCTTGAATTTCGAGCCATTTTTTAATTATTAACAATTTAAGGTAAAACGCAATCTTTACTATGATTATTAATGATAATAGTGTTAAAAAAATAGATTTTTGGAAGAAAATTATTTTTTCACTATTCACATTTAATTGTTTAAACAAACTAGATTATGAATTAATTAATTAATATATAAACAAATTACATATTTGTAATGTACGTAGAAATTGCATACAAATTAAAAAATAATGATCAAAATCCATTGAGTAGAACCGGAGATATAGAAAATTTTATTAGTTTGAAATTTTATTGTTTGTTCGGTATGGATTTGTACTCCATGAATTTGTAGGTTCTTCCTAATCACCATTTGAACTACATTTTTAAAATTCGTAGAAGGTCCTGTAAAGGTACAATATTTGTGCAAATTTTTTATCAAAAAATACAAATCCCATTCTTTATCATGGCGTCAAAGAGGTTCCTTAATTATTATAATCAAATTAGTGTGAATTAACAAAAAAACATGGCTAACTTTGGCCCAAATTAACCTAGGTCAAATTTTTTTATTTGAAAATTCGGGGAAAATACTAGCTTTTCGAATGTAAAAAAAGATTTCTTCTAAGGACAATGTTTTTAAAGTTCTAAATGTTTATAAACTAGATAATTTCAAAAATTTGGCATCAGGATTTTTGATTATGATAAATCATTTTTTTATCATTTTTTAATACATATTGATAGTATCTTTTGCTTTCATTTGTCGCCCACAGCATTACCCTATCTTTATTATTTTCTGTCTCCAAATTTTGAGGGTTTGTTAAGTATCCCAATACCCAACCTTCGCTGGAACTCTAAAGTAAAGTTGTTGTATTCAAAGTTTTTAACAAATATCAATTGTCACTTATTTTGAAGTTTGCAAAGCAACAAATTGACTTTTCAACTTACAAAAATCAGCATTTTGAAGCTTTGTCAATATTCTAAAAAATAAAATTTTGTAATTTTATGTCAAGTATTTAGCTTTCTAATGGAGTGGAAAGAATCGCGTTTCTTGCATTACATTAAATCAATAAAAAACGGCTCCGAACTTTAGGCAGGAAGCAGGTAGGTTTTGTTTTTATATGTCTACAATAACTAAAATAGTTGTGAGCTGCCTGGATTATTGATTGTCACGAGATAATCATTATTACTCTGGACTAATATGACTGGACAAGCAAGTGACGAAACAAACTTCATATATTATGTAAACTTTACTAACAAAAACGTTCAAAATAAATAGTCCAATAAATATAATTAATCAAATTCCATATTCAAATACTGCAAAATATTTGGGTATTACTCTGAGTTCATGTAAAGAAGAAAAGAAAATAATAATTCTGATTGAAATACAAAAAAATGTACTGACCGATTGACCAAAATTTTACTCTGTTTCTACATAATAAATTATAATTATATAAATAAATACTGAAACAATAGTATTATTATAAAAACAGTATAAAAATTTAGAAGGAAAATGTCACAAACACCAGAAAATATTTCTATTCATATAAAAACTTAATCAAATTATAGGTACTTACTGCTTATTTATATAAAATTTCCTCAATCGTCGTCGACTTTTTCGTCCGGAACATAAACGTCTTCGCGAACTACCCATTTTAAAAACAACAAAACACACTGGTTTGTCAAAACTAGTTAAAAGTCGAAATAAGCCCTAATAATGTTATTCAACATTATTAAATGACCCTCCCTCTGTCTTACCTACTCGTCGGCGAGAGTCCAGAACTATCAACAAGGACAGCTTGTACTGACTTGCTGCTTTGTGTTACACTTTATGTTAAAAATAAAAACAGATTCGGAAAGTGGGTAAAATTCTGTAGTGCCCTATTTAAAAAAAAAAAATTACGTTTATTTTAACCAAAAATATTTAAAAAAAAAATATTGTTTAAACAATTTATTAATTTACAACCAAATAGTGCACTAGAACTTTTTAAGACCTTTCATATAAAAAAAGAATCATCTCAATATCTGCCATAGTTTTTGCGTTATTTGATATAAACTTTTACATTGGAATTAGTTATGCCCAGAATCGCGAGGAATGGCCTTAATAAGGGAATCCTAATTCACGTTTCTTTTATTCCTCTTTTTCTGTAGACATGACTTTGCCTGGTTTTCAATGCGCCTCCATTGAGTAGTCGTTATATCCTTTTCGTGGTCTACCTACTGATCGTCTTTATATTAAGGAACCGTCTCTGGCCATCTTTACTACTATACTTGTTATCATTTGGATTATAGGATTATGATCTTGCCTACTCCTTGATGTTCTTCACTTTACATCTCCGTCGAATATTTGTACTTCTAGCTCTGTCACATAGTGTCTTACCATCGATTTTTCTAAAAGTTTTTATCCCTGCGGTTTCTATTTTCTTGGATCTCTCTGTGCCAAGTCGTGTGTTTGCTGCGTATTTCATTATTGGTCTGATGACTGTTTAGTAAAATCTGCCCTTTATTTCTTTCCCGATATATTTATTTCTTCATATTGTCTCCATATTGAAGCATCCTGTGGCTCTATCTAGTCTCTTGGCGTTCCACTTTTGGAGATGTCAATTAATATACAGTAAGGGAGAAAATTGTGGAATAATTTCTCTTTTTTTTTTTTCGAGACTTGGGAACTTTTGAGACTTTCGTTTTTTTATTTTTAAATTATGATTGTTTGACATATATATCATACTAGTGACGATATCTAGCTGGACGTGATGACGTAATCGTAACATTAGCATAATTATGTATACAGAGTGTCCAAATAATATTATATAATAATTTTAATTAAATTAATTTACACAATAAGAAGTATGTAGGTAACGTGGTCCAAAAACCCGGTCATTAGAAAGGGAATCAGGGACTGCTCTACATCAGTTTTCTCTATTGCACTGTAGAAAAAGAGTCTATATTGCAAAGCTCGGTCTATATGTATTATAGTCTATGTGATCCACATTTCTCATTATTGTTACTAAGATGTTAAATTTTTTGAACATCCAAATAATTATTTATTTATTATATAAACCTAATTTATATGGTCAGATTACTTTAATTACGTCTTTTATAGGCCGGGAAATAATGAAGTCCAACTTGGGTTCAGAAAATAAAAAATATTTGGCTTTTCTCTCATGTACCAAATACTACGGAGAGAAATATAAAGAAGGAGTAACAAATACGCACGAAGATCTTATGGAGATCACCAAAGGATACGTGGCCTTGGGTGGAGGAGGGCTAGCGTTGTTTGGTACTGCATGTTTGTATACTTGGCCAGAATATTTTGAGGAGATCATTCTTCGCTTTGAGGATAATAATTTAGTGGACAGGACGCAGTTTTTGGACGATAGCTGTTATAGGTGAGTTATTCACTCTTGTTAAAACGGTTTTCAAAATCTTTAATTATTATTTCAGAGGTACTTTAGGAGCCTGTTTCTCTACAACCCTCGGTTCAGTGCTTCACGAACTATTTCATACTTTCGACTTAGGTCACACAGAAGAGGGAATAATGGGTAGAGGTTTCGATAATATTTACAAAGTTTTTACAAATTTCGACGTTCCGAATCAAACCCTAGAAGCTGGCTACGATACCCAAAGAACCTTCCAAGACAAAATTGAGTTCAAGGAAGAATTCGAACCGGAGAGTCTACTAGAGAGACTTAAGAATGAGAATAAGAAAAAAGAGTTCACTGTGATCAAGAAGTTTGAAGAAATCGACGATACCGTTCTAGGAAGAAGTTGTGCTGTGATATTGTGTTACCACAGGTAATCTAGTTAGGCTTAACATTTTAACGTATTATTAGACTCACCCTAGAAATTTTAGTTTTTTGAATTTCAAGCGCTTTAAAAGTATCCTCACAGTGATACAGAGCTGCTAAATTAAAGCTCTAACCCATGTAAAGGGTTATTAAAATGGGTGCTGCTAACCCATTAAAGCAAAAAATGTTTTTTCAAAATTGTCGATTTTTTGCTTAAGGTTCACTTATTTAGCAATGAGTTTTATTAAACCAAATTATTTATTATTTTCAAAAACAGTTTTGTAGTTTTTTTCAAAAATTTATGTTGCCATATGGCAACGCTATGTCTTTATGAGATTGCACAGACTATTTCAGAAAATTATTACATAAGTATATGTTAAAAACATTTATTTAGGTTTTTACTCATTTTTGATGAAATATAAAAAAATATAAAATTACATTCCAAACATAACTCAACATTATATTTTTTACATATTGTACGAATAATTGACTAACATCCTTCACCTGCATATCTCTTCTCTTTTTTTTTCTCTAAAGTGAGTATCAAAATATAATCTCTTTCATCATACCTCAAATCACCACTAATTCTATTTAAGGAAATACTATTACTTGGTGTAGCTAGTCTTCGACCCCCATGAGGCGCAGTTGCATATCGAGATACATATATTTTTGCAATTTTACTTCTGAAGTACAGTTGTGACATTTTTGTACCCACAGATGTTCAATGAATAATCCAAGCATTTACAATTGATACATCAACCAACCATGTAAATATCACCCACCATCCTTTTTTGAACGTACTGCAATCATATATCGACTGACGTCCATTAGGTCAGTTCCACTCATTCCACTATTATACTGACTAATGGCAAAAGATCTTGGTACTTAAATATGTTTGTGTTTGGCCTTAGAGGCCGTCACACCATAGGCATTCGAAGCAATTGTCACTTTAATATTTTTCAACAACCTTATGAATAAAATGCCATTATTACTTTCAATCGAAGAAAAATAATCTCCTTTGCATCCCGTTTAACGTAAAACTGTTTTAGATGTAAGAGGGCAGGTCTTTTGTACTATAGGCTGTCAAAATAGAAATTCAATTGAAAGCTGTTTTTTTAATGTTATCCGGCATAGCAATAAAAGGTGCAGTGCACTTTTCAAAAATTTGTTTGCCTACATTGGCAGACTTACTGTCTTACCGTATAAAATGGTCTTACGTATAAAAAATGAGTAAGTACCCTGAAGCAGAATTTATGCACCACATTTTGAATCCGAATCTAATTGGTTTACCTCGAATAACTATTTACATTAATGGCAACCGTAATACTTCACCATGTACTCGTCTTATATAATTTAGGTTTTCTTCCAGAATAAAGCAGTTTAATTTTGTTTTTATTAGATTCTTAGAGGTCTTAGTTTATAAACTTTATCCATTATTTCAAAAAACCGGTTTCTACTCATTGATTGACTAATAGCCTGATTATTCAGACCGGCACGTAAATCCCAATAAAATCTTTTACTTTGATGTGGATTATAGCCAAACATCAGTAAGATAGCCAAGAAAGATTTTATTTCATCCTTGGTTATAGCAAAATTAGGTGTATTTTAGAAGTATGCCTCATTGATTCCTTTACCAACAAATTCATCACATTCTCCTAAAAAAATTTCAAATAGTTCAATTCATCATTTAATTATGTTTTGATGAAACCTCTAAATCTCCAGATATCCAAGAACAGTTTTTGTCTAACCAATTTGCGGCCTAGTACATGACTCATCCTCTTTGTTGACCCCAGCATCGATGTCAATATAACCACCTATTATTTGGTTGTTGTGTGATACAACTTGAGCATTTGCAGAAAGTTGCTGTCCTGGTAATCGATTTATATCAAAGTCATCTTCTTCGCCTCCCGAGTCTTCTTCTGTTAAAATATTAAGCTCAGGAGGTTCAATGAATATCTGATTCACATCTAAATCATCCACATATGCTATTTGGAGACCTTCTTCTAAAGTCAAACCCCTTTGGAAACACATCAATGTCACTATGAATCCACCTCAAATCATAATTTTATGTATTTTACAACATTATTACTAAAGTGTCATCTGTTTATTCGATATTTATTACGAAATTCTTATTCTTCTTGTGCCCTGCTCGAGTATCGTGCATTGGCTATCAAATTGGTTATATTTACTAATTTTGTTAACGGCAGCTCGGAAATGGAATGCAGAGAATTTGTTAAACCATTCTCTCAGATATTACCAAATTACGCGAAAAAATTATGACTTAACCAAATAATATTACTTACTCGAATTTAATATCCATTTTGAATGTAACCTTTAACCACAGAAATTCGCTGTTTTTCAAACGTCACTGGCCAACCTGTAAATTCACAATAAACAACTAGATCAGAAATACGTGTTCCGACAATCTTACTGAAGTGACCTACAGCATGATCTTTACTACAAAAGACAAATAGTAGGAATATTTGTATAGACAGCAGATTCGCGTTGCCGTCATAGACGTATACAGATTGAACGAATTTAAAACGGATCATACAATTTAATATATGTCTGTTTGAACTGCATTTGAAATAGTGGACCAATATAAAACTTGGACAAAAATAAATCCATACCTGGGTTTAGACATTGTATAAAATATCGTTCAACTATCTGTCTCGCAAGAATGTTGTTTGCGTAACAATGTTGCCAATCGCCGTGTAATAATCCGATTTGTGGATCTTTTTGAGAGTTATATCTTCTTCGTATCTTTAAATAAATCGGATATTTGCCTATATTTTTCATTGTATTTACCAATCTACTACAACAGACTAACAAAAAAATAAACTTAATGGATTATAGTTATTTTCTTTTTTTCTTGTAAATATTTTATGGATAACACCTTATTTGAGAAACATCTAAAGGAATGAGGTTGACAACACCGCTCAAAGAAGGGCTTGTCTGATGTAGCCATAACTGGTTTGACAGCATAATAAAATCGTAGATTTATGTGTAGCTTTCAATTTTTATGATTTCAGAATCCAGCAGACCGCTAAAGTATTGGATTTTTATAATATAATTATTTTACAACATTTTGTTGGCCAACCACCTACAGCAAAATTGAGCCGAAATACATAATATTTAGTATGTTCCGAATTTATTTCGTTCAATCTGTATAATAACATAGACGGATCAGTCTGTAACTAATTGACGACAACATCTTTTTTTCGTTGTTAGTTGTGTCTCTGTCTTACATCAAGTAAGTATAGCCCCTTTTATTGGGGGCTGAGAGAGAGAGAGAGAGAAAGAGAGAGAGAGAGAGAGAGAGAGAGAGAAAGAGAGGGAGCGAGGAGTTTCAATGCGTTAGAGAGAGACAGATAACACAGTACGCGCAACCGGTATGCTCGGTCTATGTTAATACGCCTATGGTTCCCGTATGGTAACGTTGAGCTAAAATAGGTTAAGTCAAAAACGTGGAACTCTTTTATTTAATTGTCAAAACTTAATAAATGGTATTTTAATGTACTAACAGTACAATTTGAAAGTAGTGGATATTGATATTTTTCTATAGTAATGTTAGTTTTAAATTTGGTTAACATCTAATCATAAAACAAAACGATTCATCTCCTATTGGATTTTTTCTTCTTCTTCTTATTGTTTTTATGTAGACATGACTCTGCCTGCTTTTCAATGTGCCTCCAGTAAGTTATCGTTCCATCGTTTTCGTGGTCTTCCTACTGATCGTCTTCCTATAGGGGGAACCATCTCTTGCCGTCTTTACTACTCTATTTGTTGTCATTAGACTTATATGATCGTGCCATTCTACTCTTCTATTTCTTACCCAGTTCTTGATGTTCTCCACCGTGCATCTACGTCGTATATCTGTACTTCTAGCTCGGTCCCATAGTGTCTTACCATCAATTTTTCCAAGTTTTTTCATCTCTGCCAAACAGAGATGAAAAAGAGAGGACATTTTTTATCATCTCTGTGTTAGGTCTTGTTTCTGCCGCATATATCATTATTGGTCTGATGACTGTTTTGTAAATTCTGCCTTTCGATTCTTTCTCGATATTTTTATTTCTGTATATTGTTCCATTTAGGCAGCCTGCGGCTCTGTTTGCTCTATTCACTTGATCTTCCATTTCAGTTTCGAGCTTTTCGTACGTACCTAGATAATATGATACTTAGATATTTAAACTCCATCACTTGTTCTATTATCTGACCTTCCAGCTTTAATTTACATCTTAGCAAATTTGCTGTTGTAATCATGCATTTTGTCTTTTTTGAGGAAATTAACATGGTGCAGCATCCGTTGTAAATCATCTTCACTTTGAGAGAGTTCTATTGCGTCGTCTGCATAGCAGAAGTTATTTTTCTCCCATTTCGTATTCTTTTTTAGTTCTTGGTTTTATTATTATTTTATCCATAATCAGGTTGAACAATAAAGGACTCAGGGAATCTCCCTAACTTATCCCAATGCCAGCTTTAATAGGGGTAGTTAGTTCTACTTCTACTTTTACTTTTATTGTGTTGTTTTGGTAGTTTATTCGATCGTTTTGATTGTTCCTAGAGGTATCTCTCTTGGTTACAGTAAGTGTTTTAATTTGACTCGGTCAAATGTCTTCGTAAGGTCCATGAAACATATATATAAACATAATTATGTTTACTATAATTGCCTTAGTAGTCGGTGCGTTTTGATTTGGTTTGAGTCTTCTTACAAACTCCTTCTGATGACGGGTAGACCCAGAAACACGTGTCAGGGAGTGGTAAGAGACTCAAATTAAATCGAAACGCAACCGTCATTTATAAATATGTCGGTTTGTTGTATTCTAATGATTTCTCTTGCACTTGCCTCATTATAAATATAGCGTCGGTGCATGATATTCCCGAACTAAAACCTTTGTTGTTTGTCTGCTAGTGTTATAATAATTTCATTCAGTTTATTCGTTATAACTTTGGTTGTTAATTTTAGTGTTGTGTTTAATAAATTAATTCCTCTGTAATTTTCCAGGTCCGATTTGTCTCTTTTTTTAAAAAGAGGTATTAGGATGCTTGATCTCAGTGGCGGCTTGTGGCCTAAAAAAGTGATGAAGATGAGGAAAGCTTGGCGGAGCCAAAAGGAGTTTTGGTACCTACTTCGCGCCCAAATCTCATTAAAAATACGTTAAAAAAATTTATAGAGTTTAGGGCCCTAATAACTTGAAAACAGTTTTTTAGGGCACTTATACTAAATACGATTCGTTCTGTTTGCCTGGGGTATTTTAGTTCTGAACCTTGACATTTCATTGAGGGTTTTTGGGCGATTAAAACACCACGCCTACTAAAACGGCTTTGTGAGTTTCGATTCAGCCGCCCACTCTGGGTCAGATGCTGATTGCAGCCGACCACTCTGGATCAGACACAGATGTTTAATATACTGGTTGGTCGACCACGTAAAAGAACATCCCTTTTATCTTCATTTTTTCAATGCCTAAACGGAGTCTCTAATATATTACACACCAAGTCATTAATTGGATTCATGTCTGTCTAAAATTATTTTTGTCCAAACGAAGTCCACGAGAACACTTTATATCCGAAATCCGAAACAAACAACAGAGAAATGTATTAATAAAGTGCACTAAACAATACTACTATACTATACTATACTATACTATACTATACTATACTATACTATACTATACTATACTATACTATACTATACTATACTATACTATACTATACTATACTATACTATACTATACTATACTATACTATACTATAAAATTTCCGAAAAATAATAATACCAAATATACATCCAACAGTGGTAGTGAAGACGGATAATGAATTTTTAGACGGAACTGCACTCGCCAGTTTTCTCAGTTATCACTAAGATTAGGCTGACGTCACGTTGCCATGGCAACCGTGAATGCTTATGCAGATGGATTTCGCATTCTTTTTTAATTTTTAGATTAATTAAAAGAGAATAAATAATTTATATCAGAATTTAGATGTAATAATGTTGCTTTCATTTTTTATTTATTTTTCTCAATTTAATTATATTTTTTTGGCGAACCTCACCTTCACCTACTTCACCTGGCCAGCCGCCGCTGCTTGATCTCCATTCTTGAGGAATTCTGTTTTGTTCTATTATTTTTTGGATTAGTTTTAATAGTTGTTTGGTCAGATTGGCTCTTCCGTACTTTAGGAGTTTGTTCCGTATTCTGTTCTCTCGTGGAGATTTTTAATTTTTTAATTTCCTTAATGCTTCCTTTACCTCTTCCTCCTCAATATTTATTTCTTCGTTTGTCGTCACCTCTGGTGTTGGTGGTTCATTATCGTCATCTTTAGCAAATAGGGATCGAAAGTAAGTCTACCCATGTTTCCTTCTGAGTGTGTTTCGTTTTTATTATTTCGTTTATCTCTTTTCTTTGTCCTCTGATCATTCTCCATATTTCTTTTTGTGTTCTGTAGAAGTCTTGTTTTATCTGTTTTAAGAAATTATGTCCGTGTTCTTTTTTTTTTTATTTGTCTAACTAAAGTATTCGTTTGGATTTTTTCAGATTTTTCTGTTAAGCAAATCTCTTCTGTTACTGCTCTATTAGAAAATAAATCATAATAGTCAAAGATAAATAGCAAGAAAATGTGGTGTAAAAGTTGGGTCAAAAACTTAAGAGTCCTGTTACATCTGTTAGGAAAGGTCGGTGTGGCAGGAATGCTTCAGTCAACTTGTATGGCAATGAATTTTAAAGAATTTGGCTGTAAAGCACAGAAGAGCCACCCATAGAGGCATTAGAAATAAATTAAAACAAGCAGCGTGTTCAGTTTTGGTGGCTACTGTATGCCGAAATTTGTACAGCATGGGGTTAAAAGTCGCAGGCCTCTTAAGTAGCCAAAATTAACACCACACATGTTTAAGAAATGCTTAGCTTGGGCCAATTTGTATAAAGACTGAACTATTGATGATTATTTGATATAATATTGATGATACATGGTCGCACGGTCTTTATGCAGGTTGGATCACCTTGCCATACGGATTGAAAGTTTTTTAATACGGCAAGAAATTACTCTATCACTATGACCTAGCAACTCACCAGTCATGAACCAATAACATCAAAAATGTCTGAGAATGCCTCTAGAATGAAATTGGACGAGGAAATAATAACAGAAAAGGTTTAGTGGATCAGAGTAGAGATAATCATTTTTCATTGGAACCATAGTGACCATTTAAAAGAAAAAGCAGCAAAATGCATAAATAGCATGCCTAGGAGAATGGTTGCAGTTCTTAAAGCCAAGCGTGGCGATTTTTTTCAACATGCACATATGTTATGACTATCATTATTTTAATTCTCTTATGTATAGTTACAAAGTTATAATTATAATTGATTATGAACAAAAAAAAACAGAATTTGCTAAGTGACTAATAATATGAGTAGAGATAATGAGTATATTTTAGCAATTATGTGTTTTTAAAATACAGAAAAGTGGATGATAAGTGGTATTCTTAACAAAATGCCGTGTCTGTCAACATCGTGCGAGATAAAAAAATGAGGATCTATGATGGTTTCACGTTCCACTATTTGCTAGCTGGCGGGTTCAATAATAATAGTAATATCGCAACGTCCATTTCGATAATGTACTACATTGTGAAACGTACATAAATCTATTTTAATATGTACTATAATTTTTTTAGGTGGTTTAATCAAACAGTCTCTAAGCAATCGTCATTGCTCACTTTTGATCCGTTTAACAAACTAATCAAGTCAACAGCAGGAGTTCGAGTAGTTGAAATACGAAGCGTAGAAAAAGAACTGGTGTTACACAGTTGGGTTTTCGATGGAAGAATCTTAAAATTTTCATTCCAAATACCTCAAGATATTCTAAAAGGAACCAACAATTCCAGCTGTATCGTTTTTGTGGAAGATACTATTGGTTGCATTTTGAAGGAAGAATTCAGTGTTTAAAATAGGGTGATCAAAATTGTTTTACTAGTACAAATGTTTACATAAAAGTTGACATAGAATATATTCTGTAACTGTAACAAAGTTTGTTCTACAAGTTGTAATAACTATTAAGAATGTGCCAAAGTTTAAGTAAAAGTTGATTGCAAATGTTAGCTTCATATGGCAAACAAAAAAATATTATAATATTAACAAGAACGAGATAAATGCTTAGTTCTATCGAAACTACTGGCGCTGATGTCATATTGTTAGTATAATTTCACAGTTTGCTAAAATACTATTTAAAAATATTTATTAAACGTATAAAATATTTTAAATTATTAAAAATAGTGTTAAACAGTTATCTTCTTAATTCTTTCTACAAATTTTTTTCAAATTATTTTTTTGTCTTTTATACCTTTTTATATGGGTATAAGGTCATGTGAAAATCTCCCAAAAAACCATACCGAAACATATATTATATCCCAATGGCTTCAAAGGATGACTCGGCGCGTGTTTGATTCAGATTGAGTATTTGCTCCTGCATGAAACTTATAGACCCGCTGATCCACCTACCAATTAAAAACACACCTCTTCTCCTTTCTTCTTCTTTTCTGCTAATGTAATTTCAGGTGTGCCACTGATGATACACCATCAACTGGAAATTGTAACCTACCGCGGTCGGCCTTCCTTTTTTCTTCTAGTGTGAGCTCTAAAATGCGTTACTTGAGAGCAGGTACATGAACTATTTAATCTAATATATCAGACTGCCAAAATCCCCAATGACAATCGCTGCAATCGACCTTTGTGTCAATACACAAAAAGTCTGGTGCAATATCCTGCTCAGATCATAGAACAATAGCTTTAATGAGTCATACAGTTATACCATTTCTGAAAATAATACATAGCAGAATTGTTAAAACTCTTAAATATGAAATTAGTGACACACAATTTGGCTTTAGAAATGGCATGGTCACAAGAGATGCTTTGTTCGGCTTGAATGTGCTCGCCCAGAGATGCATGGATATGAGTCTGGACATGTTTTGTAGATTTTGAAAAAGCATTTGATAAAGTTAAACATAAAAAGTTTGTAGATATATTAAAAAGCAAAAATATTGACAGTCGTGGTATGAAAATTATATCTAATCTATATTGGAATTAAACTACCAAGGTAAGAGTTGACAACCAGAACAACCGAGATATCAAAATGTATAGTGGAGTCCGCCAGGTTTGCCTACTCTCACCACTACTCTGCAATGTCTAAAGTAAAGCGGTATTTAAAGAAACGCTCTCACATTCAATAGAAGGTATATCTATCAATGGAGAAGTTTCGAATAACTTGTGGTTTGCAGACGATAGAGTAATAATGACGGATAACAACAATTATTTACAGAATTACTTAATTAATGCTGTCATGAATACGGATTAAGGATGAATTTAAAAAAAAAACCTAAATGCATGATTATGACTAAATCAGCAGATGCAAACATCCAATTGATTGTTGAGGATAATGTAATTGAAAGGGTGGATACCTACAAATACTTAGGAATATGGATAATATCAAATATAGACCAAACCAAAGAAAATAAGACGCGTATTGAAATAGCACATGCATCATTCGTTAAACTTAAAAATTTTATAAAAATCGTAAAATAGTTTCGAAACACAATTCACAAACACAATATTGTTGCTTCTTAAAAGGCAGAAAATATTGATTTTTCACGTTGAGAACCCCTATGAATAGCTCTTCTGACGAGACCTATTGGGTCGAAATACGTATCAAGAGATACATAGGATTTGTTTGCGTGAAATCAAATATTTGTTGCCTTTTCTCATTTTAAAAATTTTCTTTGTTGTCGAGATATAGGGTTAGGACTACGCCTAAGAATGCTTCGGTATTACGTATTCACTACTCTTTTTTCTGGCTTGGAAGCATGGACATTAAAACAAGTGCATCTGAATAAGTTGGCTGCCTTTAAATTTTGGTATTACACAAGAATCCTACGAATATCTTGGACTCAAGGAATATCAACCGTAGAAGTTACTAGAAGAATAGGAAATAAAGCTAAAATAGTATTTACTATCAAAAGAAGAAAACTTGAGTACTTAGGCCATGTTAAAAGAGGGCAAAGATACTGATTATTGCAGCGTATTATGCAAGGCAAAATTTAAGGAAAGCGAAATGTGGGAACACGAAGAATACCATGGGTTAAGAACATGAGGGTCTGGAACATGAGAACCAGTGAAGGAAATATGTACTTAAGAAAGAGATATTAGAGTTTATAAAACCTGCGTGAATTGAAAGAACGGTCTGGAACATGAGAACTAGTGAAGTAAATATGTACTTAAGAAAGAGATAATCCGATGGAATAATTGATATAATTTGTTCAATCTAGGGATTCAAGTAAAAATTAGTTTATAAAACCTGCGTTCGCCTAATACTGACATACACAATAGAAACAAGAAATAATGATATCATGAATAGAACGAAGAAGAAATTTGAATCAACATGTAAAAATAATGGGAGAAGATATAATTGCAAAAATTGTATTAGATGGCAAGAGAGCTAGACCTAAGAATCATAGAAAAGACGAAAATATTAACCGCTAAATACAGATCATAGACGTTATGCGTATGAGAAAGAATATGTATTGAACAAGCAGCTTATGGAAACATGACGAAAAAAATAAAATAACAAGTAGGAAAATTAAGACTATAGAATCAATAGCTTGTTTTGCTATTTAAGAACAATTTAATTCAATTTTTAATTTGTAATATACATAACATGAGTTCTCTAACGTCATCAGTACCAGTGGTTTTGGAAAACTATTACAATATTATAATCCTATAGTTCTTTGGTTTTAAACATTAAATTGTATTTATGTTTTTGATTCTTTTCCAGTAGTTAATTAGTTGTTTATGCTTAAATGTTTTTATAAGTTGCTTTTAAAGCAATGATTTTCATACCAACTTTCCAAAATATGACTGAAGTGAGAAAAGAGGCCTGTCGGTGTTAACTTCGACTATATTTCATATATTGACGTAGATTATCTACGTATTTATTAAACTAATAAATGTAATTCCTAAATACAATAATAAATTTGTGGAAAAAAAGTAGTTTTGTTGAATATTTTTACTCCTACATAATAATTATAAGGACAAACAAACTTACAAGAAGGAAGAAATACATCTAAACACCTTTCGACGATTATACGTCATGTTCTACCATATATGTATATTGTAACCATCGAGCAAAAAGACAAAAGAGGGAATGTAAAGGCAGTGGGGGCATAAATATTGTTAGACAAGAAGTGCGGCCTTTAGAGCCCACATTAAACAAGGAAAGATAGTCTCTCTCCTTGTTTGAGATCAAATTTAGTTGGGTTATGTTATTGTTTGTCCAAAATGTCACATGAAATCTTATTTATATTGAAGTTTTTTAACAGTTGTGTCACATTTTAGACTATAAGCGTTAATTAATTAAAACTTTCTCGTCTAAGACACATTCTGAAAAATATAATATACCTACTGTTAATAAGAATCGGAAAATTTAAACTTGGCGTATTCGCATTTCCGGATATGTCCGCCATCAGAGGCCACTTTTTTGGTCTCCTTTTCATAAGGATTAGATTCCTTCTTTTGTCTTTTTGCTCGATGATTGTAACAGACAGTGAACCGAGCTAGTAGGAAGTAGGCTTAGGACACTTCGTGTCTCGAAGGCACCGTTGGTCAGTCGTTAGAGATGATAGGCGGGGTTGTTTAGGAAAGTGGTGAATCCACGAAAGTTATAAAGTTTACCAACACATGGCGTCACTGTTTTTAAATATTACAATTTCAACAAAAATGGAATGCTCATATTATAAAAAAAGACTAAATGGAAAGACGTTAAATTAATAAAAGAAACATACATATATTTAAGGTGTAGTCAGATCTAAAAGAGCTATATATATATATATATATATATATATATATATATATATATATATATATAAAAATATATATATATATATATATATATATATATATATATATATATATATATATATATATATATATATATATATATATATATACAGTAACGGGCTACTGGTAAACAACAGTTGAAGGTAACCGGGAACGATCCAATACTAAGGAAGCAATAAAAAACGGGTGCTTCAAAGTGAGTGTCTTCTATTAAAAGTCAAGCTTTCGCCACATAATTTTGGGCTAAATATTACAATTTCAACAAAAATGGAATGCTCATATTATAAAAAAAGACTAAATGGAAAGACGATAAATTAATAAAAGAAACATACATATATTTAAGGTGTAGTCAGATCTAAAAGAGCTATATATATATATATATATATATATATATATATATATATATATATACAGTAAGGGGCTACTGGCAAACAACAGTTGAAGGTAACCGGGAACGACCCAATACTAAGGAAGCAATAAAAAACGGGTGCTTCAAAGTGAGTGTCTTCTATTAAAAGTCAAGCTTTCGCCACATAATTTTGGGCTTCATCAGAACTTGCTGTAATCGAAAAACATTCTTTACTATCATCATAATTAAAGATGTTATTTTTAATATTACCGGCGATTAATAATGTGTTGAACCTATTCTGGGCATTCTAAGATATAACCACATCTCGAAGGCTTCTAATTTGTCCATCATTTTAACCTTCATAATCCAGGTTTCACATCCATACAGTAAGACAATCGTGGGCAGAGATAAAGAATGAATATGTAAGAGAGGCTGCACCATAATCAGTAGAATATGCTGAGAAGGCTACTGGAAACAGTAGAGATGACAGAACCGAGAAGAATCGCAGGAAATATGCTGAGAGATCGCAAAAGAAGTAAAGCTATTAGAAAAAAATGTAACTAATGTAGTTTATTATATTATCAAACAATGACGTATAATAATATATAGACTCGGTGAACGCTTTAAAAAGTGTCCAAAACATGAATACCTTTGTTATTGTTTATTATTTTGATACGAAGGTGCACGAAGTTCATGATTTCTTACGAAGCATCACGAAGTTGATCTAGTGTTTGAAAACATCATGGACGTATGAAAACATTTTCTCCATTTTGTGTGACAAGCAAATTTTATTTTAAATTGTTGAGAGTTATTTACTTACTATTTTAGTAAAATGGCATACTATTTTATCAAAATAATTAGTTCTCTTATAGACGGGAACAAAAAGAAATCATAAATATTTAATTTTAATTAAAAAATAATTATTGTCATTAACATATAAATGAGCACGCCGCTGTTGTGATAAACATACCTTCAACCTTGAGCCGAGATCTTTCGGACACTCGATTCTATAGCGAGAATAGGGGACTGCGTAGTCTATATATTATACGTCATTGGTATCAAAAATCAACATAACCTTATTTTCACTTATATCATAAGCACATAATACACCACCCAACATAAAATACTTTGAATTGTTGAATTGATTTATCGGGATATCTTACGTTAAATAAAGATCTGACAAAGCGCCTGAATTGCCTGAATAAAACATCTGTGTTGTTGCTATTTTCTTATTAATATTTTTGTTTTCTTAACAATAAATAGGGCTATATTAAATAATACAATAAATGTATACTTTGAGCACAGAATAATAAACATACAGAATACCCACTCTCCACGGAAAATTAAGTACGCGCATCTCCTCCGCGCAGACGTTCCGCCATGTTTTAGGAGGATTTTAAAGAAATTATGTGGTGTGCATGGAAAAATTAACCAGGTTTATTTGACTTACGGCAATCATAGACATACTATACAATTATATTAACATTGTTAAATATAATAACATAAATATAATATAATTAAACATAAATATAAACAATTACATAACCACACAAATCATATGTATGTGTCCTCCTCAAACATGCCGCGCGTGCTGAAAAACTTCAAAGGCGGCATCTGAGAGTGTCCCTTCTGATTGTTTATTATTCTGTGCTTTGAGCGGCAATACCATAGAACAAACTTGCACCTAAATGTTTGTGACAACCAATGCAGACCGGTCTGGCAGCGTCACTTGACAGTTACCTAGCAACGATAAATACAAACAAACATTTTAATCTGAAGTATTTTATTATGAGTGACCCAACTGAAAATGATTTACTTGAGGGTAAGTAATATAAAACTTTATAGTGGTTTTATTTCAAGTATAATTTGCCACTTGTATAGATAAAGTATATTTTGTATCACAAATTTGGCCCTCCAATCCCTCACGACTATTTATGACAAGTCTTGCTTTACTGATTCCAACCAGTTCTTCTTTGAACGTCGTCTTCTTTTTTACCTTTTCCCCATCTTTTAGTATTGTTTTAAAATTTGGATTCTGTGAAATTCGTATAATGCGACCCTTTGGGCTTGTATTTTTGCTGTAAGTATTGGTTTTTCATGGATGTGTATTATTGCTTTATTTGTTCCTCTTCTTTGGATTCTTGGATATTCTCCCGAATATTCTCTGCACCTTTTCTGGGCACCTTGTAGCGTTTTTTTATTTATTGTGTATATAAAATATTTCTATGGTACGTCCCTGTTGTTTCTACCAAGAAATCGATCAATAAAGTTAAATGTAGGTACGTTGTAAATATTTCAAGTTTTTTTGACGAGATTTTTAAATGCGTATTAACGTTGGAAATATGTTTTTATCTCTGTGTTACAATGTTAGGTGAAACAAACAGTTTTTTGTCGCCAAAGAGGTGTTATGTTACATGAATTCCCCCTAATATTCCAGTTGACAAAAAGTTGTTTTTCGTTATTAGAATGAGAGTCAAAAAGAATATTTGTTTATTTAGGATACCAATACTGGCGTCTAAAAACGCAATAAAGGAATATTTAAAAGGTTTTTTTTCGATACGAGCGAGGGGATATTGTTTTGGTTCTTGAGTTTGTGGGGACAGGTTAGCTGCAAGACGGAAGGGAAATTTTTGGCGAGTTTCTTGTAAAATGTAACGAAGAGGAGTCGACATTTGAGTTTCAAACGGGGCAGACATGTGACAATGGGAGTCGAGATTTGAGTTCCAAACGGGGCAGACATGGACAATTGAGACCAAGATTTGATTTGAAAAGGAGTCGAGATTTAAGTTCCAAGCGGGGCAGACATGTGGGAATGGAGTAAAAGATTTGAGAGGAAGTGATGAAGAACTTCTCGAAGAAAAAAGTCGACAAATTTTGTTAGTTAGAGGAACAATTACCCTCTGTAATAAGACAGGTTTTGAAAAGGGTAACTACTAAATATTTAAAGAAGTATGATATAGGATGTCCCCGTAGTCGGCTCGATTCTTCCACCAAGTTCCTGTTCCTATCGTTTTGTCCTGGAGTGTAGAACTAGTTCCTGATGGTTGCTGCCTTCCAATTTTGAAAGTTTTGTCCGAGTAGCTTCCCCAGAGATGCAAAGTTTCAAAGTGTTTGTATAAAAAAAAAACATTAAGGTAACAATTCAATATATTAATTTTTCAAAGTAAAGACAGATATTTTTTGGCTAAAGTAATAATTGCTTTCATTCTTTGTCATCAAAATTAAATGTGATACCTGACAGCAAGTTTAATTTGTTTTTTTGTTATGACAATTTTAATTTGATAATTATGTAGAAACGATATTTCATATATAAGTTTAAATTTATATGTTTTCATTAAGAAGGATCCTTAATTTTTGATAATCTAATTGGCCATAATATAGTAAACAAAGAACATGTAAGTTTTTGTTATTTGTATTATGTTATATGATATGTTTCTTTTATAATATGTATTTTTGATCTGTTTTGTTTGAGACAAAAATAAATGTTTAATTTGTTTCTCTGATCTGTTTTGAGTTTTATTTGAAAAAGATATTTTTTTTTATATTTTTGATGTTATACAATTATTTCCCTAGTTACAACTAGTGGTTGTAATAGGTATAATTGGGCACCTCAAGTGGCGCCCTATATTAAATTTCTTGAGGTGTTTTCGTTTATTTTCATTCTGTTTGTCCCAAGAGATTTGTATAAGTACCCCTTTATTTCTTTTTTTTGTAATTGCCCAATCCAACCCCCAATATCTTCAACTTATCCACGACCCAGCTCTCCAACAACCAACTGAGTGTCCGTATGCACTTGTTTCGATTATTTTGTTTGCCCAATCTTGTCCCCCATATTCTTACCCTGTGGTAAGCAAAATAGTCGTTACAATTTTGTCGCCCAACCTAGGGGCTTTTGAATATTTCCGTTTCTTTTAGATTTTGATTTCCTTTTTTCCCAAGCCACATATCTTTTTCAGTTTCCCCAGTTCCCTGCCATATATATGAAACTTTTTTCCTTTTGAATAGTGCCCCAAAGTGTCTCACAAACAGTAGTGTATTTGTATTACAATGTATGTATTTTGTACCAACATTATGTATTGTTGTTTTTTCAGGTAATGTACTTATAGTGACATATGTATTGTTCTTCATATATGTAATGGTAAATGAAAGCAAATATTTGAGTTAAATATTTAAATATGAGTTTTAATTGAAGTATTGATATTGAAAAGAATTTAAAAACAGTAGCAAATTATACAGTTACTGTTACATTTATTTTTTTATTGATTCGACAAATTTTACAGAATAATCGGTTTTTGTAATTTTTTATTTGTTGGGTCATTTTGAGTAAATGTGTGTATTCGTTTGAGTGACTTTTGAGCTATGTAGTTGAGAAGTAGTATTATGCAGTTTGTCTTCTAATTAACCGTCTCTGAAGGTGTATTTAAATGCCAAGGGTTAATTAATGTTGTTGTACGAGGGGTAGTCATTGTGAGTCGTAGAGAAGATTCGACAAGTTTAGTCTCAGTAGTAGACTGTTTATTGTGTATCCTTTCTTGTATCTGAATGACCACAGGTGTAATATTTGTGATCAGGAGATGCTGTTTTAGTTTTGACTAGGAGCAGTCTCATTTAGTTTTCGGAACAAGAGTTGGTTTATTTTGGTATTATTTAGTGTAGCTCACTCAAAGGTCAAGTTTTCAATATTATTAGTATTTTGTCTTTCCTTGTATGTACGGTTTAATTTGTTTGTTAGTGTCCATGTTGTCCCATGTTGTTTGAAACCATTTTTTTAGTCCTTGTTAGTGGAAGTGTGAACTTTTAGGAGACAGGTTAAAGACCTCATTTTTTGTTTACCAACTGATTACTAAGTCAAGAGCAGAAGTTGCAGCAAACTGATTGAGTTTTGGATTTCAGTACGCGGGAGTGCAAGTGAGACTTACTATCAGGTGATAAATGGAAACGGTTGTTTCTTAAAATTGTCATATTTTCTACCAGTTGTTGAAGTTGATTTTAGTTATTTTGTGTGTTTGTTTTCATCCAATTTTTGAAAAATGAAGTCCACTCAGGTTAATCATTTGAAATCAGGAGAGTTATCTTATGAGCTTTTCATAAGAGGTAAAAATGTCCCAAATAAGACAGTTGATGATAAGAGAAAGATGTTAAGAGCTTTGTTGGCCAAGGAGGCCACTTTGTCTTCAAGTTTAGTCGATTTGGTTAATAATGTAGTAGATCCTAAAGAAGAGTTGAATGAGATCATGTTGATTATAAAAGATTTATATAGTTGTGCTCAATCAATAAATGTAGAATCAAATAAGGCTGATTTTGCTAGATTTGAGACAAGGTCTACACATTTAGATACCAGATTAGAAAATTTCCCTATGAATGATGTTGAGGAAGATGTATTAAAGTTTGTTGAAGAGTGTAAAGATGATTTGTTAGTGTTGAAGGGTAATGTGTTAGAAAAAGAGGAAATGTTTGATGATATAGTAAAACCATCCACTAGTAGCCCAGTTTCAGTCCCTGTAGTTCAAAGTTGTACAGTCCCAGCCCCAATAATACAGGTTTCAACTCCTGTCATTATTTCTGATCTACATATTAAGTTTAATGGTGAGAGTAAAGCTCTTCCCACATTTTTAGAGAAAGTTAAAGATTCTGCTAGGTCTCGGAATATTTCCGAAGACATCCTGTTTCGCTCAGCTATTGAGTTATTTGAAGGTAATGCTGCTATTTGGTATAGGAGTGTTAGAGATAAAATTAATAGTTGGGATGAGTTGGTAGCCCTACTCAAATCTGCTTTTTTACACCCAGATTATAATGATAATCTCTTCGAAGAAATTAAAAGTAGAAAGCAAAAAAGGAATGAATCCATAACCATTTATTCAGCAGTGATGGAAAACCTTTTTAAACGTTTGGAAACTTATCCTAGTGAAGCCCAAAAAGTAAAAATAATGAGGAAAAATATTTTAGTGGATTACATTCCACTGATAGCCCTTCAAGATTTTGCTACAGTAGAAATGTTAGTAGCAACTATAAAACGTTTAGAGCAGAATGTCCTGCCCTTGTTGCAGACTACTAAAGGTCTTGCAGGTATTTCAATTGATGATTCAGAAAAAGCCAAAGAACAAGTTCATGTGGTGAATAATCAAACCAAGCAAGATAGAAGTGGAGTAGGTAACAGACAGGACAGAGAAAATTTTTCTAGGAGACCCAATCCCAAATTTAAGTATGAAAATAATAGACCCAGTCCGCCAGAGAATACTGAAATAAGAAATCAGTCTTTTTCGTCCCCACCCCCAATGATGCAATCTTTTTCGTCCCCACCTTCATTAATGCAGTCAGCCCCTTATCAAGCTCCAAGAAATCCGAAAAAGATTATTTGTTTCAATTGTAATAGACCAGGTCATATTTCCCGTGACTGTAGAAGTAAATCAGTATCTTGTTGGCGTTGTGGTCATAAAGGTGTGATCACATCTTCTTGTCCTAAGTGTTGTATTTCGAATAGGTTCAAGTCCAATAGACCTTACAGGTCATCAGTGAACCCAATTTTTGAAAAGAAAGATTTTGATAGTCGTCCCCATGTTAATTGTTTAGAAGTTAATGTAGATAGAATAGACCCTTGGTTCGATAATTTGAGATCAAAGATAATCCGATCCCCCCTTGATTTTCCACAGTGGAAGGTGGAGAATGATTTTGTTTATAAGTTTGCCCCTACCAAAAATTCTTTTAAGACTAATGATGTAGAGTGGAAAATTCTTGTGCCCAAACCACAAAGGTTTGAAGTTATGAAGTCTTGTCATGAGCCACCTACGTGTGCTCACTTTGGATTTTCCAAAACTTTGTCCC